AAATTAATTTGCAACTAGCTGTGGCAGCCATCTTGAGTTTTCAAATCCAGAGGGCTTTTCTTGATTTGTATGTGCCACCCTAAAAATCACCTTGGCCACCCCTTGCAAAATAGTCTAGCTCCACCCCTGTGTCCCTTCAGAAATCCTCCATTTGGAGCAACAAATCACTTTCAAACTTTCATCAAAAAAATCTGGCATGAAATACGGATCTGCTGAGTAATACTCATTTGGCTTCTGCCCAACAAGCACTTGAGAAACACACTTGACTTTAAAAAAGCAGAATCACAATAAAAGGTYGGTATTTTAATCCTGTTCAAATGAAGTAACAGGCAAATTAGAGGATTTAAGTGCTCTTCTTGTACTTTAAAGATCCAAACGACCCTGTCGTGAGAGGCTCCCTCATTGTTGCCATTGATTTTTCATTAATTCGACCCGCGGGAGGCTGAAGCTATCTCTTGGATCAGACCTGTCGTGCTCAATTAAAAGCCTCCTCAACACTGGTCCAGCTTTATTTTTCTCAGCTGTACACGTGCCCTTCCGTAACCTTTTCTGGGTGAAGTTTTCTTTTTGCAGGCTGCTTCACCAGCCTCTTTGTGTTTCGGGTAGAAGCCAGTGAGTCGCATTTTTAGGGTGTGGCAAATTCCCCTCGCTTTGTCGTCTCTCGAGCGCACCTTTTTTTTTTTTTTAGAAATTCTTCTGTGTGTTTTCTGGACAAGACAACTATAAAATAAGCCCCTCCCACACGTGGTTGCCACCCTTTAAAAAAAAAAGACAAGATCTTGCAGTCAAAGCGAGCCATTAGGAGTGGATGCTGACCAGGCCGAGCCTTGCAGCTCAGCAGCACCTCATCACCTCATTCAGTGGTTTTATTCTGCAATAGGTAAATGGGTTACAGGATCGTTTTGCAGCCTCTCTTCTTATTTGCCCTGTAACGCACACTCACACAGACATACACGTGCTACAATGACCCTATTAAAGTAGCTGTAAGGGCTGAACAACGTGATGACAGTCAGATTGGCTGGAATGGAGGTGTTGAAAAGCCTCATTTTCACACGCAGAAGTGGGGCAGAGGTGTTGATTAGTGCGCAGAGGGCCATACCTGCCTGCCTGTCCATTTGTATTTTTGTGCGTGTCAGCATTAAAAGGAAAGAAACATTCAGCTGACCTCGCTGGGTTTCACCCCCCCCTCGCTCCCTGTTGTCTTTTAAAGCTTAAAACTGACATTATCAATATTTCATTTACTTTTCCAGTTCCTGTGGGGGTTAAAGGTAGCAGGCCAGTCAGTGTCACTGCCTTGAGCTAAACCAACAACAGGACTGATCGGTGGCAGGATGTCCGTCAGAGCCAATTATGTGAAATGGGATGCTGAGTGTCCAGAGATCCCGGAAGCTGCCAGACGACACAGAGAAACCTCAATGTGACAAAAGGAGAAAAAAAAATAACATTGAGAATTCTGCAGTAACAACATCATGTACTGGGTGGGGATTTGTAGCAAGCCTTTTTTTATTTGTAACACGTCTGCAGCAGGTTATTGTATGATGAGTCTGCATTCCTGTTGTTTTATTTTTCTGTGAATTTTTGGCAATCTAACCACTTTCCGCATGCTTTGCGCTACATTTTACCCATTCTTATGTAAACATGTTTGTCTAATTCAAGAGATGGGTGTATTTTTGTAACATTTACACATTTGAACATATTTTTAAGTCTGTCCTCATAGAAAAACTGAGATTTCTTCAAAAATATTGTTCTCTTGGAAATCTGCTTCAGAAGAGTTTTTCTATTTTATTTTATACGTATCTTTTACCTACCATTCTTCTACTTTTAGCTTTTAGTTATTTTGTTACATTTTGCTTTAAACTAGCAGTTTGAGTCTTTAAGGTAGCATTGTGCTACTTTTTGCTTTTAGCTCACTTTTTAGCTTTTAGATCGTGTTTTGTTACTTTTATCTAGGTTTTTAGCTAGCATTTTTGCTACTTATAGCTAGAGTTTTGTTTATTAAGCTTATGGCTAGTGCTTTTATTTTTTTAGCCAACTCCGTTTCAGCTTCTTTAACAGATTTCGGCAGTTATTCAGCACTCAGCATTCACACTGTATTTTTGCTAAACTTTGATCTTTACCAACAAGGCATTAGAATTGTTTTCAGCATCTTTATTGTATTCTATTTTTTTTCTTGTGATTTATTAGTTTGAGTGAATCTTTGGCACCAATGCTGCACACAAGATTTGCAATTTTCCAAACAAACCAGGTGTCTGAATAGGTTGTAAATCCCAACGTCTAAATCCGCCCTCAGGGGATRAAAGGTGGCTTGTTGTGCAGACAGATCCTGATGAAAGGAGCACAGTGTTACAGGATCTGCTGCTACAATGAGCAGAGGAGAGATAAGCATCATTATTCAGGCCCCCACTGCAGCAGCTGTAAAGAGGCTGATGTTGTGATAGTCGGACAYGCCTGGTCAAAGAGCCGCGTTATGAATTTATTGACATCACAATCGAGAGTTCAGTGTGCGCATGTTATCAAGGTGTGGAAGAATTTTGAAGAAGCGAATATTGAAAGGAAATGGAAGAATGAGTTTAAAAATAACTGTGAAAGGTCTTTTGTTCAAAGGAGAACAAACCGGTTTCCTGACGGTTTGATTATCATTTTATTGGTCCACCTGGGGGGATAAGGTGGCTATTGTTACGTAAAGCACTTTGTTCCTCTTTTCAAGTAAAATGTGAGAATCAAAGTTGAGGAAGCGATTAAACTAAATGAGGTGACTGAGTCACAGGAAAGCAGCGTTATTCCTGAAGGAACTCTGCGTGAAGTGAAAGGGTCCCAGTTTGACCTGAGTCCTCACAGTTTTAGTGCACAGACTCTGGTTCCAAAAAAACAACAACATGGCAGCTCCTGTGAACAGGATGTCTTAGCTTCTATTCAGAACAGGAAACAAAGACACTTCATCCATCTTCTTTTTTGTAAATTGGTGAAACTGACCCAAACAGTATAAATACAAACATGTGAATATAGGCAGAGTTCCATGCAGGAGGAGATTGAGGCCTYAAATGTTGCTTGATAAAGAGCGTTTTCAGCCACTGTATCAAGAGTTTCTGAGCAAAACTGACAATTCATTCATGCCATACTTTGGATTGTCCTGATACATCTCAGTAATCCAGGTAAAAAATCAAAAGGAAAAAAATTGTGTAGGTCTTCTGGACGGGTTCTTCTCTAAT